ATGACAGCCACCAAATAATAAATAAGACAATAAAGCAGCAATAAAAGGAACACCAGAATTTACAATGTTCAGCCAATTTTGCCTACTTCCTCGGACACAACTAATATTTTATTCCACTCCAAAAATACTAGCGAAATAATACTAAAGAGAGAAGATACAAATGCCTTAAGAAAATGAGAAGGCAAATAAGAGGTGTGTTTAAATCCTAAACATTAGGCCTCCTTTTATATGGAAAAAATCCCAACCAAATATGTCACCCACCGATGTGGGACTTTTGACATTTTCAACAAATCTCCACCTTGGCAAAATTCTACATCTTCAATTTTCTCTTCATAACAAATTTTGGTTGTGTCTTCATCTTCAATCTTCAGTGTTCAACAATGTTGATCAAATCCAAACAATGTTGAAACTTGACCGCAGTCACCACNTGTGTCTTCATCTTCAATCTTCAGTGTTCAACAATGTTGATCAAATCCAAACAATGTTGAAACTTGACTACAGTCACCACTTTTGTCAGCATATCAGCAGGATTCTCCGTAGTATGAATTTTCTTCACCGTGACTCCACCTTCTTCTATGATTTCTCGCACGAAATGATACCGAACATCAATATGCTTCGTCCTTGCATGATAAACTTGGTTCTTCGCTAATTGAATAGCACTTTGACTATCACAAAAAATTGTGATACTTTTTTGTTCAAATACCAAGCTCTTTTTTAGCAACTCCTGAAGTCAAATTGCCTCCTTCACAGCCTCTCTAATAGTCATGTACTCTACCTACATCAACAGTGTAAATGTATTAAGAATACGTATAAGAGTATCTAAAGCTAAAAATGACACAGATTAGTCAATCCCTACATCAACCTGTATATAATGATTATTCATCACAAAGCAATTCTTGCATTATTATTCATCGCATAACATTTCTCGCATTATGATTCACCTCATAAAGTTTCTTGCTTAAAATCCTCGCATATTAGATTGTAAACCAAAATACCTCTAACAATATTCTAAGTCAAGCATACATATTTCCTTAAGGGAGCTTTACGCAAGTAGCCGGCTAGATTCACTGTTTAATTTTTCTAATAAATATACGTAGATTATACATTGATTATATATATATATATATATATATATTAAAAGCACGAAGTCCCTTAGCGAAATGTCGTTCGCCTTTTTTATCCTTTAATAATAAATTTTATATTAGACAAAATCGTAATTTGGTTATTTTCCTAATATTTAGAACTTTAAAACTAACTAAAATTTTAAATATTAAGTCTTTCCTTCTTTGAATTATGTTAGAATTGTCCTAATATTAATGAATTTAAAGTAGATATAGAATCATTACATTTCTTTTCCTTATGTATCAACACGGCAACTTCCATGAAAATATGTTCATATTCATTCTTCTTATTAGGGAACTTATAATTCTAACTAGATGTTTCCATATATTGTTACTATTAAAAGTAAGAGATTTTCTACCTAATTAAATATTACTCTAATTATTAAATGTGTTTAAATATTACACAAATTGATAACAGAATAATATATGGTTTGAGTAGGAGAAAACTTTGAAATAATTTGCATCTTTTAGGAACTTATATTTTTTTAGCGTGTTTCCCATCTTAATGAGTATTTTTTTGTAAGAAACTTACATGTCTTTTAAAAAATTATGTCTGAGTAATAAAATAAATTGTGTCTGAAATTATTGAATATTGATCCCATATAGCTAACTCAATAAAAGAAAAAAGTTTGTTCATGAAAGTCCTCAGTCATTATTCAATATATACATCTTAAATTATATTCTGATCTATAATTTTATCAGTTCAATTTCACAAGTTATCATACTTTCTTTTTATTTTCAGTGAAAACACATAGCCCTGGAAGATTTAAAAAAAATTAATTTTTTTTTCAAAAACTATTCTCAAATTCATTTGAGAAGACATAAACACGATATAGACTAAATATATATTTTGATTTAATATACAACTACTTTTTGTATGCAATTATTAAAAGACATTGCTCTATTGAATATACTATGTTAATATTTATAATTTTTACGAACTTATATTTTTTCTTTGATAAAGTTTAATAACTCAAACACATTATTTAATAATATTTATATAATTTTAAAAATTGTATTCTTATTGATATAGGTACAAGCGTAAAACGCGTACCCTAAAACTAGTATATATATACCAACTATTTTTAGTTTAAGTGGTTAGGTGGACAGCTATTTATGTTAATTCTTCTCAAGAAGTATACATGTTTGTAGGCCATTAGCTACTAGGCTACAAAATGAGGCTAGTGTTCTTGGTTGGTTTCAAAGTAAACAGGCCAGCCCAGAATTAACAATTCCATTCCAAAATGGGTCGATTATTAACTACTACTAGACTTCACAACTCTTGAGAATTTGACCCAACACAAGTCTGTTGGAGGAAAAGAACATTCTTCAAAAACAAATAAAGAGGATAAAGAAACGCCAAGTCACCAAAAGCTAAGGTCCATTTTGGATTCAGAGGAAGCAATTATTATCCAACCAAAAATACTTACCCAAAACTCAGCTATGGACATTACATTTCAAAGCAACACTCTTTAACTTGGTAACACAAACATGAGCACCTTTACAAATCCTGCAACTTTGTTACATCCAAAAATCACCATAACCAAAAATCATCACACAAAATACAACACATTACCCAAAATCCAAGCAAATTTATCAGCTGATGAAGAAAAATTCTCGTGCAGGCGAAAACTTGTCACGACAATTCTAGCCACTTCATTGACACTAGGCCTACAATCAACCCCATTAGCATTGGCTGAAAATTGGGGCGTTCGATCATTTTTAAGGGAACATTTTTTCGAGCCCGGATTATCCCCTGAAGATGCAGTGGCACGAATTCGTCAAACAGCAGATGGACTACATAGCATTAAGGAAATGTTGGAAACCATGTCATGGAGGTATGTCTTGTTTTACATTCGTCTTAAATCAGCTTATCTTAAGCAGGATATGAAGAATGCCTTATCCAGGGTGCCTGAAAGCCGAAAAGAGGCTTTTGTTAAAACTGCCAATGAGTTGACTGATAACATGGCTGAGGTACTGTCCTATTTCCTTATCATAGAAAAATTTCAAGATTTTTAAGTCTGGTATGAGTATTTATATGTATTTTCCTCTCTTTTTTCAGTTTGACTACTATATTCGAACTCCAAAGGTATACGAATCTCGTGTATTCTATGAGAAGACACTGAAATCAATTGATGAATTGGTGGCATTACTTGCATAATATCAAGAGTTTGCACATCAAAGGTGAGTGAATGGTACGAAAATCGCGTTGGTTTAGCAAATGTAACGAGTCTGCTTCAGTAAGTGGTGAAGAAATATCGAAATTATCTACAATAGCAGTTGAAATAGTCTCATTTCATGTTCATTATTTTGTTCAAAAAGAAAAATGAAAAGGTTCTTATTGGCTTTCTTCAATTAGCAAATTGAAGCCTATGAGTATATAATTTTGATGGCCATTTCTGAAACCATCTATATTGTAAATAACAGTTTCTGCTTATTGAAATGTGGATTGTTCTTAAGATTTTGAAGATGAATACTCATGTTAACATAGGCGAATCCAGGATTTAAATTTTGTGGGTTCAACTTTTAAGATTTCTTTAACATTGAATCCACTATCTTTTTAAAGTTCGAGTTTATATCTACTATTTTTGTAATTTTAATAAATTTTTACCCCACGTCGAAAGTTATGAGTTCAGTTGAACCCGTTGCTAACACACTTCCTCCGCCCCTGCTCCTGTATATTTCCAAGTATTACAAAACATAACAGAAAACAGGAAATCTTTTCATTTTTGAATATTCATGTGGATAAATGGCAATCTAGATACAAGTTTCATGTTGTGAAAAATACAATGAAAAGCAACTAATGAAAATTCAAAACACAATACACACAAACAGAAACACAAAGGCTAGCAATTGCAAGTGTAGCCAGTTTTTTTAACAATTTAGCGCCTGGATAACGCGATAGCTGACAAAATAATAAGGAGAACCAGCAACGCCATTGCACCAAAAGATCCAATGAGCGATCCAGCAGAACGCTGGCAGAAATCTGTATACTGTTGACATATAGAAAACCAGTTAGTTGAAGTATTCCCATTATGTGCTAAATACACAATCGCGGCTGCTGCTGATGCTCCAGATGTGATAAAAACCAGCATTATCTTCAAAAATTTCAAAGTACAAAACATATCAGCACAATTTCATAGGCTTGCAATAAATGTAAATATGAAGTAACTATATATTTATATAGTAAAAATTAAATACATTACCGCGTCTAAAAAGATGAGCAAAACTCTGCTCTTTCCTGCTCTTCTTCTAATAATGTGAAAGATAGAAACAGAAATAGAAAGAGCAAGATATCCACAAGCTATAGCATTCACAGTAACAAAAAACCTTTACCACAAAACAAAAATAATGAGTTAGTTAACATTTCAATACAATCTAACAACAACAACAATAACAACCACCCAGTATAATCCCACCAGTAGGGTCAGGGGTGGGTAGTGTATAGTGTGTACGCATACCTTACCCCTACCTTGGGGTAGAGAGGCTGTTTCTGATAGACCTTTGGCATCCCTCCCTCCAAGAACTCCCCACCTTGCTCTTGGGGTGACTCGAACTCACAACCTCTTAGTTGGAAGTGGAGGGTGCTCACCAGAGCAACCCACTCTTGTCAAATACAATCTAACAACAAAGATTAATTTTTTTTTTTTTTTTTTNACAAGCTATAGCATTCACAATAACAAAGAACCTTTATCACATAAACAAAAGGAAAATGAGTTAGTTAACATTTCAATACAATCTAACAACAAAAATTAAGTTTTTTTTGAAGTAATATGTTGGGATTTGCTTACTTAAACGCGTCGATATCATCATATTGAGCCTCAAAATTTACAATCTGTGTACTAAAGGAAAGTGCTTGATCTGCAGTACCCATTGCAACAGCACTTCCTAAGGTTCCAACAAGTGCAGCAATACGTAAAATGAGATCAAATACTGAGATTCCTCTGTTAACTCCATGAACTTTGGCTTTTGATGCTTCTCCAGCTTCAATTGATGTTGCCTTCATTTTTAATTTCAATTTTAACTCAAATCAAATTTACTGTTGTGATTTGTATGTTAAGCCTGTTGTGACATAAGTGTAACCGTGTATTTATACTAATTTGGGAACCAAAACATGCAGCAAATTTACCATTAAGAACTACTTAGAGTGGATGTTAGGTAATGGTGACATATAATTAATTGTTCATTTGCTTATCTAATCAATCAAATTTAAGGTACAAGTATATGGTTAAGATTTGCATTTGACTTTTTATTACCTGCTCTACTTTCTCCATAACTTGTACTTTAAATTTATTAATGCAGAAACTGCTACATTCTTTCTCCAATTTTTTTTTTCCAAAAAATTTTGCAAGCCCACTTATGATCATTTGTGTCACGCACACTAAGTCATATGTAGGAATGACAAATGGTGCGGGGCGGTTGCGGCGCAAACCCGCGAAGATTTCAACCCGCCCCGCAAAGCAAAATTTGTTGTTTTTAACCGCCCCGCACCCGCACCGCTCCATTACCCTCCCTAGTCATATGATAATTTACTAATAATAATCTATGGTCCTAATTAACCATAATGATTTATTTTTTTTTGGCCAATGCTCGTAGATTATTAGGTTGTTAAGGCCAATGCTTTAGGTAGAGGAAAGGTGAGTTCTCCATAGCTTTGAGTTTATTCCAAGTGGTTTTTTGGATTAGGCATAAAGTTGTACTTGAACATAAGAATACTAGAAATGTGAGAATCAAGTACGATGTATATTCTTTATAATACGAGAAAGTTTAGTGATTGATAATCCTAGGCTTACTATTTAATTAACGATGAGAAAGAAAGCAAAGAAAGAGTTCATGGAGTAGGTTAAATCTAACTAATTTCTAGTTGTTAATCTTTTGTTTTCATTTCTTTTTCTTAGGCTGCCTTTGATTCGTTGGCATTATGATTTATGCACTCGTACACAAATTTATTTCGCTACTATGTTACACAGATTCCTTTATCGGCACATATCAGAATTCAGATACAAGTATATATTTGCAAGTATTCTGTACGAGTACGTCAAGTTCTTTTGCTAAATCATAGTGTGTATTTTGAAGGATTCACAACATGCTCTTATCACGCCCATCTAATAATACAAGTATGTCAAGGTAAATGAAGGATCCACGTAGGGGTGGTAAACAGGCGAGTCCGATCGGACATGGGTGGGTCAATGACGGATAATATAAAAAGAGATAAATTATTTTCGGCCCGCCTCATATTTAATACAGAGAAAAAACGGGTTAGCCGGCGGATAATATGGATAAACATATTATTCATGGCTTCTTGAATATGATCACTTTTGGGAGAATTCCTAGTCTCCCAAACTTGAGTAACTCCCAATTAGGGCAAGTGCACAGATAGCCATTCTCAAGGATGCTATTTAGAGAATGCCAGTATTTATTTTTGTCCTGAAATTTTAAATTAAAAATCGTAACTTCAGGACAATTCATGACATTTTTGTCTTGAAAAATTGAATTGAAAAAGTGAAATTCAGGAAGCACTTGCTAATTCTTAAATAATGGCCCTTTAGCACAGTGGCTACCTGGTGTCATTTCTAACTCCCAATTTGATGTTGTACAAATGTAAAAGTTAAACTTATTAGTTATCCATTGGTTATCCATTTTCTAAGTAGATAATATGGTTATTATCCATATTTAACCCGTTTTTAAAAAGATAATTATCCAACCAATTTTGTAATGGATATAGATGAATAACCAATTTTATAATGGATAATATGAGTGAATAACTGTTTTCTTTTAACCATTTTACCACCCCTAGATCCACGTAACATAACTTAACTCTACCATGCTCTCTAATATATGCAATATCGTGGATGGATTGAGAGGGTAAAGAAAAAGAAAAACTCTCTGCACCCAAAGGCTTATACTAGTAAGGAAATTTTAATTGGTAATACTTTCACCCAAATAGATTTACAAATAAGCTGAAAACTGTGCATATAATATTTTAGTTTATTCCGCATCAACCAGAGTAGCCAATTGGACCAAGCCCGGTTCAGTTATTCCACCAAAAGTGTATATAATTAGTTTCACTTCGAATATCCCAAAGCAAATTAGGTTCAACATATTCTCTTGCCTGCAACACCTTTCTCCAAGTGTGAGATTGCCGGGCCTTGAATTCGAGTGTAGAATCTTTTGGTAAGGAGTACATTTACCTCTTTAGTCGGCCAATAAAATTCAGATACTGAAATCTTTAAAAAATATACTGATCTACACCCAATTTCAAGATGAAAAGGATATACATTTGCCCCTTGCTAGAATTTTCATTAAACCTAATTATTAGCAAGAGGTCTAGAACGCTTTGAATGTGATCAAGAATGATGCAATGAGCAAGAAAATGAAAGGTAGCAACCAAATATACAAATAAAGAAAGGAGATCTTATGACATATGAAATTATATATTTATGAAGCCACACATGATTAGAAACATGTGATATGAGTCAAGATAATAAGACTCCTTACCTACCAAGTACGTACATGTTTGTGAGCTAGTCATGGTCGGGGCATTTCATTTATATTCACTTTTTGGGTCACGTTTTAACTTGTGTCCGCTTTGCCAAAAAAAATTGCAAACGTATTCACTTTTTTGCGTAATTTCAGCATACGGGGCTGAAGTAACAAAGGCAATCACGCAAAACTTCAGCATTCTAGTAGACGAGCCTGAAGTAGCAAGTTTGCTGAACCAAATGTGCTGAAGTTTTTGTTTGTAATTGTTAAACTTAAGCATAGTAGCTGATATTTTGTTCTCTATTTGCTGAAGTTTTTGTTTGTAATTGCACTAAATAAGCTGAAGTTTTTTTGTCATGAATTCATTAGTTTTGTCAATTAAGCTTTTTCACAAACTTCAGCAGAAGATGCTGAAGTTATTTAGTTCATTTATAAAAATTTTAGCACTAAATAAGCTAAAGTTTTTTTTGTCCTGGATCATCTTTTTCAAAAACTTCAGCAGAAGATGCTGAAGTTATTTAGTTCATTTATAAAAATTTCAGCACTAAATAAGCTGAAGTCTTTTTGTCCTGGATAAGTTTTTTCAAAAACTTTAGCAGAAGATGCTGAAGTTATTTAGTTCATTTGTAAAAACTTCAGCACTAAAAGTTGAAGTTTTTTTTGTCCAGCATTCATTAATTTTGTCATAAAGCCTTTTCAAAAACTTCAGCAGAAGATGCTGAAGTTATTTAGTTCATTTGTAAAAACTTCAGCACTATATAAGCTGAAATTTTTGAAAAGGCTTTCTAACATACTAGATAAATAATCAGATTGCCAACAGTATCTAAATCATAAATTTTGGAAACAATAAGCGTGAAAAGAACAGAATTATCATTGTCTACTAACTTACGTACGTGGAAATATTTACAAATTATTGTTTACTAACTCACGTAATTATTTATAATTTATTTTTAAATAATCTGATAAACATATTTATGGCAATCATCCCATGAACTGAAGTTTCATAGCAGCACCAACAACAACAGAAGGAAGAAGGAGGAGAAGGAGGGGGAGGAGGAGGAGGGGCTGAAGTTGTTTAAAAAGTGAGTACAAGTAAAAAAAAAAAATGGGTATAGGTTAAATGAGGGCGACCAAATAGGGCATCCCGTGCAATTTTTACGTCATGGTCAAGGGCGGATTTAGGTAAAAATAGCACGGGCTAGCCAGTTTTCGGATTGGTCATTGAAAAATAGTCAGCGTTTGCAAAGTCATTAGAAAATAGCCACTATTTTGCTACAACACGGAAAGCTCCAGCATAATATACTAGAGATTGGTGCACCTGTGTATGAACTTCCAGTATAATATACTGGAGATTGGAGCACTTGTGTATGAACTTCCAGCATATTATGTTGGACCAGTATATTATGCCGGAAGTCCAGTATATGATACTCGAACTCCAGTATATCATACTGGAAGTCAAGTAAATTATACTAGAACTCTAGTATATTATGCTGAAATTTTTTTTTCGAATTTTAAACAGTGTTTTCGTTCAGATTTATCTTTACATGAAAAATGGCTAAATTTCGATTACTTTAAAACTGTGGCTATTTTTCAATTACCACTTATAAATCTGGCTATTTTTTAATTTCAGCCGGATTTAAGGGCAGAAGTGTTGGGTTTTTTAAGCTTGGTTTAGCTTAAAAGATGGTGAATGGAAAATGGAGGAAAAATGAAATATTTGAGTTTCCCTCCTTGACAAAGGGATATTGTCCCATATTGGAGGACGAAAAGACTTTTGATAGGTATATATACAATTGCTCTTCTTCTAGCTCTTAAAAAGTTAAGAAGAAGACAAGTCTCGCACCGTCGTCCTCGTCGCTCATCTTCGGCTTCGGTCAAATCGATTGATTGATTAATTTTTCAGACCAAATTTATTTGTTAATATTAAGATTAACGTAATATTATTTTAATCCAAATTAGCCATTTTTGTAACGGTAAATTAATTTTCCCCCGCGTTTTGATTTCCTGTTTTGTTTTACGTAAGTAGCCATTTATGTGATAGTCGTTCTTACGCAAACAGTCACAACAGTCACTCTGAAGAGTTGCACCTCTTCATTTAAACCCAACCTGCTGGCTATAAATAGCAGACCATTCCCTCAGATTTTCCTTACGAAATTTCTGAATTCTCATCTTCCTTTCTGCATTGTTTTCTTACAAAACAAACAACGTAAGTGTGATTTGCTGCCGCCATTTGTGTTCGTTGAAACACTGGGGTTTGAAGTACCGCTATACCAATGTATAATCCATTCTATCCTGGGGTGAAATAATCCACAACCTTAGATACTAGGAGGGGATTAAGTTTCTTAAGGAAACATAGTGAATTCAGCGGGCTCGGATTAAATTCTGTTTCTTCTACATTTTCGTTTATATGTTATTTTTCTTCTCCGGAATTATTTTGCGAATACAGTATACTAACAAGAAGGGGTTCACCCGAACCTCCTCCGCCGAAAAATTACATTGTGAAGATTAGACAAAACCTATTTTTTACCTTTATATATTATATTTTGAATCCCCTTGATATAGCCCAAAAGCATAGCTTAATGGGTACGTGGGTTCAAAACCTTTATAAGGTCGATGGTTCAATTCTTAGTAGCAACAATCTTTTTTAACTTTTTTTATTTTTTGAATGTCGTTAGCGAAAATCCTGTCTCCACCACGTCATGGTCACTATTACAGAGTCAGTTGGTTTATGTTTCTCGTGTAAAAACAAACTACTTGTATCAAATAAATTATCCTTTTAAAACATTAAACTCTATCAGAGATAGAGATGGACACTGAATCATCTTATTTTCAGAAATTATTAGAAAGTACTTCGTGTTTTCAAGGTCTATGTTTGTATATTACTCAATATTTTTCCGTTTAATTTTGATATAAAACAATATTTTACTAATTATTCAAACATAATTAATGTTGTGATCAAGGATACAAAAGGATAATCTTGTCTGAATGGTTTTTAAAGTCTCGGAGTTTGTAGGAACATTTTGATGAATCATTGGATATCAAGGATGAGTTAGTGCCAAAATTTCGTAACAAATAATAACAATTACGTCCCCCTGCCTAAAGATTGTAAGAAACAAAATGAATACTCCAATATTTTAATTTCAAAATACGTTGTAGAACATCTTAAAAGATAAAAAGCATTGTGATCTCTTCATGTACAAGGTAAGTTTTGTCTATCCAGGAAAACTTGTGAACAATTTGTACCAAACTTATGACTTACACAACATAACTTGTGAAAGTTTAATTTTACATTCTTCACCCGCTTGTGAAAGTTATGATCCGTGATGCTATTTTTTATAATTTTTTTACAGTTAAAATAGCACGGGCTAGCCAGTTTTCGGACTGGTCATTCAAAAATAGTCAACGTTTGTAAAGTCATTGAAAAATAGCCATTATTTTGGTGCAATACGGAAAGTTCCAGCATAATATATTGGAGATCGGTATACCTGTGTATGAACTTCCAGCATATTATGTTGGAACTCCAACACGCGGAAAGTTCCAGTATAATACTAGAGATTGGAGCATCGGTGCTCCAATCTCCAGTATATTATGCTGGACCGGTATATTATACTACAGTTCCAGTATAAATATTTTGGAACTCATGTATATTATATTGAAGTATTTTTTCGGATTTTGAACAGTATTTTCGTTCAGATTTATCATTACATGAAAAGTGGATAAATTTCGATTACTTTTGAAACTATGACTATTTTTGAATGACCACTTGTAAATTTGGCTATTTTTGAATTTCTCCAAAATGGGAATAAAATTTAAACAACAGCCTTAATGATCCTATTCATGCAAATCCTCCCATTTTGCGGGCGTAGTGCACCAGTAGCCACTTTTAAAACAGTAGTTTTGGATATATCCATAATTTACAATATAATTATAATTAAAGATTAGCCAATTCACCAAAACTTCGGGACTAAGTATTCTGAATTTTTGTATCTTGAATTTTTGAGCTGCTAATTTGGAATTCAGGACTTAGTGTCCTAAATTCTTGAGCTGCTAATGTACAATTCAGGATTAAGTGTCCTGAATTTTTGAGCTGCTAATTTAAAATTTAGGACATAAAGATTCGAATTTTTGGACACAATTTTTGAACTTCAGGACACGATATCCTGAAATTTGGACTTTGAGGTTTAAATCCCAGGACGCCGGTCTTGAAGTTTGAGAGAATTGGCTAATCTTTAAATATATTATAAATTGTGAATATATTTTAAACAACATGCTTAAAAGTGGTGTCATTTCTACCATTTTAGCGGATCTCAATAATTGGGCTATGAGCAGCAATTTGGGCTCCAAGAAACAACCCGAGCCCAAAACAGATGTCAATAGAAGAAGGCCATATTCTCCTGTGGAATGAGGACGCAACCTTTTTTCCATATTCCAGTTTATTTGCTGTCTTCTTTCTGTTCCATATTTCTGGTAAAACTCATCGGTTTCCACCCACCTTCACTTCAGATTCCAGGTACGTTTCTTTTACTTCTTCTCCTTATTCTCTTTATTCTTTTCCCATATCAAGAAACTGATTTTCTCGGTTCCATGCTTTCTATTTTATTTTCTTTAAAGGTGGCAATATTCAATATGTATTGCTTATTGGGTTTCTATCGAGATTGAATTTTTCTTTTTTGTGTATTTTAATCTCATGATTAAGTTATCATTTGATAATCTGCTTTTCTGTCATGGGTTAAATTGGGATTTTAGTAATGACTCAAATTTGACTATGAAAAATTGAAATGATTGATTTGGTGCTTAAATTGATGTGGATTACTGAATCTATGCATTACATTTCATGTTTCTTGAACTGGCAATTTATAACATAGTTTTCCCCTTCTTTTGCTTCTCTTGCATGTTTATTAGCTTGGCTCCTTGATATAGTATAATCTGTGTAAATTGATATCTTGAAAAAAGAAAAAAACTGATAAATAAGCTTGAAATCGTGAAATTTATAATCAATTCAGCTGTGTAAAACTGTTGTTTTTGTATGGTATCTGGCCAACGTATCAAACTAGAAACTGACATGTAGACTAATAGGAATATCTAAATTATTTCCGTCTTAATTTGTTTTTCTTCCTTTTTCTCTGAAAGAACTCTTTCTTTTCTTGGTCATGAGCAGTGATTCAACTCTTCAGTTTATTGTGTATTGATTAAGTCGATTGGATATCCATTGATGTTGGATTTAAGTATGTACACTGGTGGCCCCTAGGGCTTTGGTGTAGCGGTAAGAGCGCAACGCGTGATGTGTGGGTTAGGCACGTCAAGGGCCTTGCAGACATAAGTGTGGTATGTAAGTGGAGAAGGGTAGGGGGAGGGGGGAGGGTCCATTATCCATTGTAATTTGATCTGGGTGCCACTAGCCCTCGATCTTTTCTAAATTATCCCCTGAAAAAAGAAGAAGTTTGTAGACTCAAGCACCCAAGAGTGCGACTTAGTGGTCAATGAAGTGAGTTGAGAACATGAGCTCTCAGGTTTAAATCCCAACGGAGGCAAAAAAACGTTAGGTGATTTCTTTCCATTTGTCCAAACTTTGGTGGACAAAATTTACCTTTGGTGGTGGGAGGTAGTAGGTATCCGGCGGAATTAGACGAGGTGCGCACAAGCTGGCACGGACACCACGTGCCACCACAGTTAAAAAAACAAAAAGTTTGTAGAATGAAATTGGTTTATGTAATCTATGATCCTTTAAGCATTTATGTAGAGCTACCACAGTATGTGGTATCTTGGAAGAACACGCAACATGGGTGTGTTAGCCATAAATTCGATTAAAGATCAAAAGCGTTTATACGGAGCTTTATGTTATCCAGGGTAGTGGATTGGTATGTACAACTGTTGGTTTTGCATTTGTTACCTCGGACTACATATGCTTTTAGATTCTTTTGTTCTTGATCCTTTAAGAGCATTTATATTGAGCTTTATGTTATCCTGGCACTATGTTGTCGACTTTTGGTTTTGCATTTGTTACCTAAGATTTCATATACAATGATTCTTGATTTATTGATTTTACATTCATTTATTTGTTAATGCTTACCTCTGTTTACTGTCATTTTCTGATTTGTGGAACAATCGAAACTTTTTGCATTCAGTTTAGATTTATTTAAGAGAATACCTTGAATTTCAAAATTTAACTGGAAGATGCCCAATATTTTGGCTTTGCTTGTCATGGAATCCATTAAAATGTTTCAAGCAAAGAGTTCTCGATCCAGAAGAGCAGCGAGCAGCTGTGTCTGCTTGACTTAGCTATGGCCTATGGGTGATAATAAACCAGTTATATTTTTGCAGAGACAAGTGTGCAATATGTCAAACCCAAGCGCAGATGAAAGTGTGAAGGAACCAAACGTTATTAATGATCATCCTAAAGGTGAAGAAAATGATGACCTTGCAGAAGATCCAAAGGGTTCAGAAGTAGAAGAAAGCCAAGTTCCATCTCAAGAGGAGGTGGTACATATTGGCATTTGCGGTTTCTACACTTAATTGGTTCCATTTGCTCAAAGCTTTTACAATACTAATCAATACTGAAGCTTATGTTAAAGCGACAGCGATTAGGGAATACAAGTTTGCACCAAAAGTTTTTTGTTAAAAAAAATCTCTGTCTACTTTGTTCTTTCATTTGCAGCTCAGAGCTTTTATAATACTAGTCAATCATGAAGCATACATTAAAATGATAGGGATAAAGTATATTTTTGCACCGAAAGTTTTTCTAGACTGATCCCTATTTATTTCCAGTATTTGGAGCTCAAACCATTTAAAATGCCAGCCACTGATGCAGCATATTTTAAAGTGATATAGGATGGAGGAATACATTTTTGCATCCGAATATCTTTTGGAACAATCCCCATATATTATGTTTCTTTTTCCAGTGCCATAAAACCGTGTGAATGAAATTGTGTTCATAAGACTAGTATCCATCTATAAGCCTATAAGGGTATTTGAGGAAGATTCTGTAGGTCATGAACGGTTTAGGAAAGTGACTTCGAAATTTGATTAACTGCAAAAATGTTGAAACATTTACAGTACTTCCGTCAACTTTTCCTTAAGATTCGGGGCATAAATCCTTTCCTTGTTAATATATCCAGGAGGAACTGAAGAAAAAGTATGGTGGCTTGGTGAAAAAGAAACCTCCATTGATATCTAAGGTGATTATTTTAAGTTTTAGTTCAACTTTTGGTATCTCAAATTCTTTCTTCTTTGTATTTTAAGTTTTTCTTCAATATTTGTCCTAATTGAATTCTCTATCAACCTGTTTTACATTTTCAAGGACCATGAACGTGCTTTCTTCGATTCTGCTGACTGGGCATTAGGAAAGGTACACAGCTCTAGCCTAACTTTTGGCTATTCAATCTTTAGCTAAAGCTCAATGCTGAAGTTTGATCGTCTTATACCATGTTCTTTTCGTTTGCAGCAAGGAGGACAGAAGCCCAAAACGCCTGCTGAGGCACTTCGCCCAAAATTGGAGGTGCGTTACCCTGTTACTCTGGAAATACATTCCCAATTTCATTGTTGGTTTGAATACACACTTGGTTTTTTTTCTGCCTTTGTCATTTTTTAGAGTTTAGATTCGTTAGATTACAACTTAGACTGGAATTAAACAAACCAATGGTCAACTCACTCCAAAACTTTTGTATCTAGCCTTGAGAAACGATGTGTTGACGAGCATTTGATTTCCTGACTATTTGTTTCAGTAGGAGAAGTTGTATCTTCTTTATATATTCGAACTAAATCCTGAAGTAGACATAGATAAGGAAGTTAAATCCAACCACAAGATGGCTACAGAAACTTGTCTTATAGATAGCAACAGAAAAAAATGACAAATACAAACACACCCTGCTCCAAGTTGCTGCATGCTCAATTTGTATTCGACTAATCACAAAAAGATTGCATTACTTATGTATTCTTTGATAACAGCCTACGCCACACCAGCAACTTCGTACTCGGCTCTCAGCTTCTTCTCTGACAGATGCCGGTGAAAGTATGTACATAAAATCCATTTCCTGTATTGCATTCTTACTGGAACTAAACTCGAGTCCTTTGTCTCTTTCCTTCTCCGTTTAAAATCTGGCTGCAGATGGTAGCAACAACGGCTCTGACCAGCTAGATGACCAGAGCGGAACATCAGCAGCCGATGGTGAGAATAATTCTTAGAATCAGAAGCACCAAAGCCGAGACATTTGGAGCAGCCTCATCATAGATTCCTGCTGAACTAACTGAAAGTGGTGTTGTAAATCTGGCTAGATACTTAATAGAGGTAAAAAAGAAGGAAAGAAAGAATAAATGCTCTCATGGCAAAATTTTGTACTGAGTTTTAGAGTTGTGGTCCTATACTAAGCTGATTTGCTTGCATAAAATTCAGAAAACTACGTGCAAGTTCTTTTCACAAGAATGATCATTTCTCATCTGCCTATGCTATTCTCAAAATGGTGATGTATTATACTTTTTGGTGGCAAAACTCTAGATCATCATGGTAATGAATGTTGAGACCATACATATTTTTTTTTGGCAGTATTAATGTTTCACTTTTCAGTACATTATACTGCACTTCATACTTACGACAAAGCCAGGAATTTCCCAAGGTGTTCAAACTTGAAAGAAGTAAAATAAAAAATCTCCGACAAAAAGTATTTAATATATGTTATATACCTCTAAAACCTAATATTTTACCTATATATACGTAATATAATTTTTCAATCCTTTTAGACATGTAGCTTCGCCCCGGTTTACGATCTCGTGCCTACTGCTACATATTTTGCCAACATCTTTTAACCCAAAAGAGTGTATGTTCCTGTGACCCTAGAACTTGTTGCTAGTGACAGAAGGTTCTATCAGCTTAAAAAAGGTAACATAATCTGAAACACCTGATTTTTTATTTGCTTGCCTCAAAGCTCAAACAAATGGCTGAAACTCAAGACAATTGTGTCTCCAAACGATCAAGGCACAATTGATCGCAATATGGTTATTACTTTCTAGAAGCCTTAGCTGCTTGTAAATGCGCCAAAGAAAATTCACATTTCTTTGAAAACTAGACAGAAACTTTTTGCAGCTCTCTTCTTTTTTCTTTTTTGTTATGGCGAGCTGTCTCATCAATTTGAGTAGTCATTAGTTCCAGATATGGGTGGCAAACGGACGGGTCGGATCGGATATGGGACGGGACTAAACCGAATAATGCAAAAAAACGGATAATTTATCCAACCCATATTTAACACGGATAAAAAATGGATTAACCGGCGGATAATATGGTTATCCATATTATCCATGGCTTCTTGAATATGATCACTTTTGGAAGAATCTCTAGTCTCCAAAACTTGAGAAACCCCCAATTTAAAGTTTCAAAATGCAAAAGTTAAACTTATTAGTTATCCATTGGTTATCCAGTTTCTAAGTGGATAATATAGTTCTTATCCATATTTGACCCATTTTTAAAATGTTCATTATACAACTCATTTTTAATGGATAATATGGGTGGATAATTGTTTTCTTTTATCCATTTGCCACCACCAGAGACAGAACAATCAATTGCTGCATGCTTGTGTGCTAGCAGACTTTTCACCAATTTGAGATAGGGTGAAACATCACATCTTTGTGGCAAAAATGCACACACTGCTCTACCAAGCAGATCGTCCCAGATAGAATTTTAACACCACATGCAAACAACAAACTAATAATAATTTTCTTATTGGGGCATGAATTCCAGAAAACATAAGAAATAAGGTCCGCTTTGAAATTACAGGGTAGAGTTCTAAATTAGCACCGGGAAGCAAAAAGAAGGCAACAAATAAATCCATATCATACAACAAACCCCGTTTTTCGCCACACACAATCCATGCTCCCAGAGAATAAATAATAGCTAATGAAAGAATACACTTTAGACATGAAATCCCAGTTATTCTAATAGCTGTAAAGCCACCACAACCCAGATATGAGCTTCATATAAAGCCCTAAAAAGGCAAAAAGAAATAGTTGGTAATACATGCGATATGGTTCCATATCATAACTTACACTGGTCTAATCAAAATGTCCTGTTCTTTCATCAAAAGAAATATCCCTTTGTTGTAATGGGCTAAGACGCCTCTCTTGCTAGTATAAGGTGGCGTTAACTGGCTAAGCACGATACCACCGGCTTCTTTTCTCCTCAAATATTTGACATTTGTATGTGTATGTTTTCTACCAAAAATCTTAAAATCTGTCTCACGTTGAATTCTTGCTCTCTCTAGTTTCCAGATCAATGAAAAAATTAGCAATTGCAAGAGAGAAAATTACTTACCTTATAGGAATTTAGCATGAGAACTAAATTATCTATCGATCCTGCAGAATAAATTACACAAAATAATCAGACATGAAATTGTGATGAACATCATCATTTCCTTCAGGCCAAAGGAGCAAAAATATTAACAAGATAAAGACACACACACTTATCACATACATGTCTGAAAGCATATTCACGCCTACTCACCAACCTGAAAAGGAATAAAAAGTACCTTTTTACCCTGGAGAAGCAAGATAAGAAAATTAACACAGCTTCGATAGAAATCTGCCTTCTCAGAACATATTATAACATGCAAAGTTGAACATGAATTTTGAGCATAATTACCTATAGATTGATCTCTTAAAAGCTCTTAGATACGTGTAAGCAACTAATAAGGGCTTCATTCACAAGGATTGAACCCAACAGTGGGAATCATGCCAAACTACGCGAGATTACTACAAGCAAAAGCAGACAAGGGATTCATAAGTATGAGATGACTGATTACATTTTACCTCCTGAAATGCGGAAACCTGACTTTCTTGAACTTTGGTTCAATAATTGAAAAGCTGTCAAGAAAACATGAAAAATTTGATGCAAGAGAAAATGATAGAATGTTCAATCCTGTAGCAAAACTGGTCAATAGTAAAAAAAAAAATGATACCACCACTTCACAAAAGTTTTACAAAACACAAAACAAACAAAAAAATAAAGGAGAACTATCATGACTTAGTCTGCTACACAGATCCACTAAAGCAGAGGTATTATTGGATACAAGGCCTTCAATGGCCAAGAAGCATCGTTTCATACAATATCTGTGCTGGTAACACCTAAGAACAGAAATACTAAGGAACGGATGGCCATAAGTTACTCTATCTTGTTCGTCTGGTCTTCTGTTCTTAGGCTGGATGCATCATCAAAAGGGGCAATAGGCTGGAATCAGGCATCGAAGATTGTAGCTGTTTAAATGGCAAGTGGGAAAAGGCAAAGTAAAGAAAGAGTATTAGTGACAGCACAGGCTTCAGGCTAGTTGACGTTAGCAATAGGAAGATGTGCTTGAGGTTATAGTGAAGTACAGATAGAGAATCCAATTGACTATGAATGAGACAGAAAAAAAAGGAGAAAATTATGTACCTCCATGTGCTCAACCTAGTATCCATAAGATTTACCATAGGCAGAAGAGTTATGGTTGGAAACCCTGGTAAAACTAAAAAAAGTAAATAACAAAAGCTTTTTATAGAAAGTGAAAGATGCTGTAACAACTATAGGCAGGAAAGATATCTTGGATGCCAAAGCATGTAATCAAAGAATGCTTTACCCTGCACTACTAGATCGCCCAGAGGAATAAACGCCATATGGTGCATAACCACCTCCACCACCAACCTGAAAAGATGAATTTAGATCTACTAATCCAACATATTTTGCTATACAAAGATAACACCAAATAGATAGAAATACAGAAAATCATCAATGAAAATAAGAACAGAACAAGATAATCTGACGTGTATCTGTAAAAATGAGATAAAGCCAAACTAACTTCTTAAAGATGAACACTGAGGATTTACCTGTGAACCGCCATAACTATCACTTGGAGACGAATCATTATAATCATGTCCACCAGAATATGATGAATAACCATGCCGACGTGATTTATTATCACGGTTTGCATATCTTGAACCATCTGACATGCTTGGAGACAAGGGGAGGTAAGAAACAGGAGGAGAAAATGCAGCAAAACTTCCCTCCATCTCAAATATATTGGCCCTCAACCGCATAAGTACTTGTAATAACGCATTGGCAGCAACATTAACATCTCCAGTTATCTGGAGGAGAAAAAATAACATGACATAACAATTTCTGCATCACAAGCACACCCTAACCAAACATCACCCCCGACCTAGGAACTCTTTTGAGGTAAACAAAGCAAGGGTTTTTTTAAAAATTACCAAAAAGAAGGAAAAAAAAAAAAGAAAAACCCATTTACCTGCACCATCTCGTCATCTTCAGATGCCACTTTAGGAAGATTTTCCTTTGAAAGAATGCGGATGCTCGCCCTTGTGGTATTTCGCATCTCATTGACAATGGAACCACCTTTACCAATTAGGCATCCAACTCGTGAGCTAGGTACAAGCAGGCGAGTCGTCAGAATAGCATCACCAGAATCTTTTTCAGTTTTCTCACTACTTCTTGGTTGCAAGCGCATTGTTGCGTCAATGGTTGGGGATTGATCTTCATATGCCTGAGATCACAATTGGATAAGCAACAAACGCTGCTGACAGGCATGCTCAGTCCTAGCCATCAAATAATTAATTTAATAACTACAAACTGTGGCTCACCTCCTTAGCTGATACAAATATAATGCAATCATCTCCTTCAGCTGCAGCACTATCGACTTTAATAGATGCACCTGATTCCTGTCTTAGCTGTTTGATAATGCTTCCACCTTTGCCAATTACAGCTCCTATATTTTCAGTTGGACAAACCAAACGAACTGCAAACTCTTTTACAGAAGCAGATCGACTTCTACCATCACTTTTGTAACTCCCATAAGGACCCATCAATGATGTCATGCCCATGACTTGGGGACCCGCATGAGGATTAACAAGTCCAGCACCAGACCTATATATGCTGGGCGACGACAGCAATTGATGTTGGGACCGTGATGGATTATCACGGAGACGCGCTGCTACTTGATAAAGTGCTTTTTTAACAACTGCACCTTCTCCAGTTATCTGAAAATAAAAGAAGTATCTCTTAACACATCATTTACGTATTTGTATAACCAGAAATAAGCATCAGATTAAGTTTGACAGCATATTCTGACATTTGCAAATAAATACTTGAATACAGCAGTTGCTCATTCAACAATCGGTTCTAAGTTGATTTCTGTCATTATTCCTCTTAGTGTTTTTACTTTTTAGTACCATTGATATATGGATGCCCCACAATTACAAAAATGGACATAGCTAGCAGACAATAAAACAGCTATTAAACAACCAAACTAATCATGTTTAAGGTTCTGCTCTTCCCCTGCTATACTTCTTACCAACCAACTACCCTCAATCCCAAACTAGACAATTGATACACGAATCCTTTATAACCATTCCACTCTATGGACTCATTTTACTCGATTATAATTCCATAAACTTCCCATTTGTAACTCAACAGCGGAACCCTGTTTAGTTCTTTTTTGAGAATGATCTTTTAAGGCAAATTAGGAGTTTTCTAAAGCTCACACTAAACACTAACATGCAATCCGTAAGCAGACTAAAAAGGACTCTTCGCAGACAGTAGACTCTTTCTTCTTCTTTTTTTTTCTTTTTTAATAAGGCAGCAGACATAATACAAATATAACAGCATGACATAACAACAACTAGTTGTATCACCTATATGGATTCTTTGCTACATTATGTTTTCTTCTTAGCTAAATCTGCATTAAGTCTAAAAGTTTCAAATCATTTAAAACAACTTACACCTCTGTGATTTAGGTCTATGTCACTCCCTTTAAGAACCTTCAATCATCAAAAATGAAAGTGATGCACCTATAGATCGATGCATCTACGTGAGACATGAACAAACTATCCTGGATGAAACTCTCATTTTATCCTCTATATGTGCTACTTGTGTTCCCTATCAAAAATAGAAAACTAAGTCCCGAACAATCTAAAATGTGGTGGACGTTCCACCACATATAAACCCAATTTAGGTTTAATAGCAAATTCCAACAAAGGACGACCATACTTGATCTCTCTATCTCTTTCAATGTAGATGCCATAAGGCGGACCTTGGAAAGTTTTAGAACAAGTAAGAGGACTCCAGGACTGGTATGATCCCTTATTTGATTAGAAAGCGCAGAACTCTCAGCCCACTATAAAAAGAAAAAGCTAGGCCTCAGTAATCCTCTATGTTTGCCATTTAAACCTAATGTTATTTTATTTTATTTTAAGAAATGGTGAGAAATGAACCTATGTTATTTGAACCCTCCGTCGGTCGTAGAAAAATTAAGAAGACTGTTGTCCCCAACCTATCTGAAATACCGTGGATGTTCCACATAAGGGCATCTCCATCCTTAAGCACTAATTTTTACACCAAAATGGCATAAACCCCAAAATGCTGGAAATTAAACTCCAACCCATTACACTATTTTTTACACCAAAAAAGAATATCCTTTTTATACATTATTTTTTACACCAAATTTGGTGTGTGAATAGTGTTACACCAAATTTGGATATTCTTTTTTGGTGTAAAAAATAGCGTAATAGGTTGGAGTTCATTTCCACCATTTTTGGTGTAAAAAATAGTGCTTAAGGTTGGAGATGCCCTAACCAAACATAAATCTAAAGAGCTCAAAATAAATTAAAAACTGAGGAAATCCAGAATCTTTGTGGGGGAGAGTGGGAATAGCATGTGTATAAGCCGGTTGACAAGCTTGACCAGGCAACCAGCTAGCAGACAAACATTCTCTTCATCTTTTTTTCACGTATAAGCAGTCCTCTTCATTGCTACAGACCACGGCTGGAAAATCAAAACCTTGTTTCTAGCTACTATTATATATTGTGAATCCATTTTTATTAATACATAAATAAGCAATTATCCATCCATTGAGTATTATCTCGCCATAGATCAGAACACCTGATATTCTTATAGATAACCAAATCAATTATGATTAAGGAAAGTGCTCACATTCAAAATGCCGATGAAATTACTTCAAGTAAAGTAAAACCATACATGCCCTAAATATTTCAGTTCTCTGCAGTACATGCACAACGTAAATGCTTATAGTGATCTTAGAAAAATTAATAGATGAGACAGAACTTTGTACCTGGATAAGTTCATCGGAGCTTAAGGCACAAGGTGGCAAGTGCTCACTGCTTAAGACCCGAATTTGTGCGCCTGTTTCACTGCGCATATTCTGGATTACTTGTCCACCTTTCCCTATCACACAACCTATTTGATCTGATGGGACAAGCATTCTTATTGTAATCTGCTGAGGATCATCTAGGTCTTCTTCCATACGCAGTTCTTCAGCAAAGACTCGGTCATGCACCTTCAATAGAGCATCTTGAGCAGGTGAAATCAGGTCACCAGTATCTTCATAGACATTAGTTTCTTCACTCAAGCTATAAATAGTTACCACACGCTCCTCACATCCAGGTATAGTCTCACTAATCCTAATCTTTGAATTAGTTTCAGTCCTCAATTGTTTTGCAATGTCCCCACCAACTCCAATGATACTTCCAATTTTTCCTGTGGGGCACAAATAACGGAATACAGTATCCTCTGGTCCAATGGAATTTGATTCTTTTTCATCAGTTGGATTCCTTCTCTTACTTCCGTCATTCCTAGTATAGTCAGATTCCGATTGCATTCTCTTCCCAAAGTTATTCCTCTGGCCTGCCATGTCAAGATGAGCTGAATATGTCACCCTACAAACCAAATACTCTATATCAACTGGGATCAATCTAACAATCCTTATGAAACTAATGGAAACAAACTAACAACTCATGAATTGTTACCATATCGAACTTCATAAGGTGGAACATACAGAAAGCATAACATGGAAATGAAAGCGCAATTCAAAGAGATGCAGGTTGATGTCATATGCAAATGTCAATTTCCCAATGAACCTATATTGCTTTACTCAATGACCTAAGGACCAAATAAAAGCTTTTACCAACCGACTAAGCAAGTTACAAAACAAACTCAGAGAAAATTTCCAGGTTTTATCAACCTTACAAACATAAATGCAATAAGCAATTTTCACTCACTCAAGACTTCTAGTTTTCTGTAAACTTACAGATGCAAAACCACCCCCACCCCCAAAAAAGTAACTTGCAATTGACGAAGCAACAAGTTGCAAACTCACATACAAGATTCATGCTTGAAATCGAAGACCCTCTTACAGCAATAAAATATCTAGCACTATATAATTTCCAATTATGGCAATCAACTTTAACAAAAAATCCATACACAATCAATTTTCAGTCACAGCATGATTTTTCTCTTCTTTACACGTACCCTTTAAGAAACCACAAATAAACTCACATAAAGAATTCATGATTGAAATTGAATACTGAGTTTTTTTGTTTTGTTTTTTTTTTTTTTTTTTTGTAAGCGGCTCA